TTAATCCCTTCGCCCTTTCTGCCCTGCCCCCCGCTGTCAGCCTCTCCCCTCTGATGGCAGTCTGTCTGTCCTCCCTGAGTCTGTTTCTGTTTTGTTTCTTTAATTTGTTCATTAGATCCCACATATAAGTGAAGTCATACGGTACTTGTTTTCCTCTGACTAGCTTATTTCACTTAGCATAATACCCTGTAGGTCCACTGATGCTGTAACCAAAGTAAAATTTCCTTCATTTTTACAGCTTAGTATCCCATTGTGTAAATGTAGCACAGGATACTCCTTTTTTATCCACTCATCTGCTGATGGACACGTGGGCTGCTTCCAGATCTTGGCTGTTGTAAATAATGTTGCAATGGACATAGGGGTGCAGGTATTCTTTTAAATTAGTGTTTCAGATTTCTTTTTTAAAATTAAAGTGCATGTGATTATCTTTGGAAGGAGAGGGGAGAGAATCAGTGTACGGTTGCCTCTTGCGCGCTCCCCAGCTGGGAACCTGGCACGGTTGCAACCCAGGAATATGCCCTGACTGGGAATCGAACCGTGATCCTCTGGTTTACAGGCCTGTGCTCAACCCATTGAGCCATACCAGCCAGGGCATTGTTTCAGATTTCTTCATCTATATTCCCAGAAGTGGAATTGCTGGGTCATAAGGCAGATCCATTTTTAATTTTTTTAGGAACCGCCACACTGCTTTCCACAGTGGCTGCACCAGTCTGCATTCCCACCAACAGTGCACAAGGGTTCTCTTTTCCTCACATCCTTACTGACACTCGTTTGTTGATTCATCAATGATGGCTGTTCTGACAGGTGTGAGGTGTATCTCTTTGTGGTTTTGATTTGCATTTCTCTGATGTTTAATCAGCTTCTTAATTTCCAAGATGACTCTGATTACTTTGATCTGTAGGTTAATTTGGGAAGAATTAACATCTGAACAAAATTTTGGTCTTCAGATCCTTTGGCACAGCATATCTTCCATGTACCTGGGCCTTTAATTTCTTTCATCAGTGCTTGCGATGTATGTTCAGCATACACATCTTGCACACACACATTTATAGATTTGTCCTTATATATTTTCTTTTTGATGGAGTAGGCAAAAATTTTTTTTAGATAGTACACCAAAATTACAATGCATAACAGCATCATTTTGTGAAAGATACTGTTGGGTTTTTGAATTTTAGTTCTCATCGTCATTGCCTGTGTGTGCAAACACAATTGGTTTTTATGCATTAACTCTGTCTTCCGTGGTCTTGCTAACATACCTGTTCCCCTAGCTTGTCTTGTAGATTTTCCTATTGATTCTGTGAACAAAGACTTTTCTTTCCTTCTTTTCGGTCTGTGTGCACTTGTTTCTTTCTCTTGCCTTCATGGGCTGGTAGGACACCGGTGGACCAGAAGTGAGAGCAAACTTGCCTTCCGCGGGTCTCGGGCACTCTCCCTCACCAAGTCTGATCCTAGCCACCCTCCCCACAGGCTTCGCTCTGACCCTTCACCTTCCCCACGTCCTCTGATGCCTCTGCACTTGTTGCCCACATCACTTGCCTTCTGTTGAACCACTTGGTGTACTCTGTCTCCTGAACAGTCCGTGACAGGTACAGCACCCACCACAGGAAATGCTCCGTGGGGTTTTTAGTTGGTGCAAAGGCAGGCAGCGCCGCTCTGTCCAGGTGAGAAGGCGAGGCCCACAGGGCCCGGCAACCTTCTGACGTTGGTCAGTGATAGATCAGGCGGATTAAGACGTTTGAGCAGACGCCCTGGTTGTGGAACAGGAGTTCTCTCAGAACAGCATTTAAAAACACTAATACAGCTGCTTCAGAAAGTTCGTGCTTGTATATTCTTCAGTGGGATAGATCTCTAGAAGGACAGCTAGGGAAGCTGGAGCAGAGGTGACCCTCGAGTCAAGAACTGTGTAGCAGGGGAAAGAGAAACTTATTCTTGGCTGTATTTTATTTCCTTTGAATGTTTCACATTTTGTACTATGTTTCTGTGTTGCCTACTTAATATTACATTAAGTACTTCCCAAAACAAAGGAATGATGTGTGTGCCGTAGGGTTCATGTGAGCACTAAGTACACGACTCCTCCCTGTTACAGTGAAAGCTCATAAAACATGGCCATTACTTAACATTTCTAACTTCAAATGTAATCCTCTTATCCAGCGAACTAATCACAGAGTCTGAAGACTGAAAATTTTTTTTTCAGTGAAATATGTTGCCCAAGAAATTTCGATTCCAAGAAATTTTTTGTTTCATGTGGCATTGTTCTTGAGAGACTCAAAATCATTCTCCCACTGGGGCAAGAAGGATGGAGCCAAGCAGGGAGGAAGGAGTCTTCTCTTGGGGGCCTTCTTTCTGGTGATCCGGTTGCTGAGGTGGCAGGATGCCCACCCAGGCAATTTGGGGGGAGCCTGTGATGAACCCCGAGGGAGCCCTTCTGCCCTTGTAGCTTGATGCGTGTTGGAGAAAGTTCCGTGCGGCCTGCGATTCGGGTCTCCGAATTTCTGTGGAGTGTACTTTCTCTGCAGCCCGTGTCCGTCGCGTGTTTCCTGTATCTTTCTTGCTCTCCCACCTGCTGACTTTGTCCGTGTGCACTGACTTAATCCATTATGTACTGTGTGGCTGGGCAGGATTTGGCCCCAGATGGCTCTGCCCCGTGAGAACGGAGCCATTGAGGTTGACATAGGCAGTGGCATTGACCCTTGAAGTGCTTGTGCGCTATGTCCCCCTCACAGGTGGACAAAAGTACTGGCTGTGTGAACTTAACTGACCTCGAACTGAGGAGCTCTGGGAGGATGACTGCAGGGTGTCTCCCAAGTCTCCTTCTCAGTGTGGGGAGTGGGAGGCACAGTTACCTTCCCTCCGGGACTACGAGACAATGTTAATGTGCTGGAGGAACGAGGGGCATCGTGACGGACAGAGGGAGACTAAAGGCAGGTGTCAGTGGGAGCGGTTGTCCTGATTCTCCGGACACCTTCACCCTCTCGCACGTGGATCAGCTTTTTCACGTTCGTCTTGTTTTTCAAACGTCCCATCTGTGCTGACGGGTGAGTCTCTCGGGGGCTGGCATCTGGAGCAGGCCTCGGTTGATCAAGTCCTCAGAACAAGGTGTGAAGACCATCAGAGAGGAAATCTTGTTCTCTGCTCACAGGAGGTCCCCGGCTGGGGCCCTGTGAAGTCAGACTGACGAGTACAGATTAACGAGAGAGAAACAGGCAGTGCACTGATGCCCGCAGTGCACAGCGTGCGGGAGAAATGCCCACAGTGAGTAACTCGGGGTTGGCTAGACTCGCACTGGTTCCGCATCTCGGCAGGGGAATAGTGCACTTCAGAGACGGCACAAGATGAGGGGAAAGGTTTCGGGCCCCCAAGGGTGGCAGGCAGTGGGACGGCACATATATGGGGAAACGAATGGAATAGGTTTTTTGTGCGGGGCCACGTTGGTGCCGACTGTCCATCTCCTTCGTGGCCACTGACACTCTGGTCAGTTTTTCCTTGTAGCCATATACGGGTAGTTCGGGTGGCCACCTTCTTCCTGAATCTGCTGGTTCTCGTTTGCTTCTGCTCAAGTAATCCTGATGCCAAAGTGGCGTTTTGGGGTGGCACATTCTGGACTCCCACCACACCGAACAGCAGGGTGTCCTCCTCCTTACTGAAATCTGTCATTGAGGAGCGGAGTGGGAGGGGGCCCTAGCAGGGTTTTGTGCGGGCCTTTGGGACCTCATTGCAGAGGGACCCCTGGGTTGAGGACATTTGGGGAAGAAGAAATGATGGAGGAAAGGCAGGGAAACAACCATGCACAGAGAATACGTAATGCATATATCAACACATGTACTTACTACATGTGCTTTTTGATTGAAATCCCAGCTCCTAGCACCAAGCCCGTGTGAAGAACGTAAAACTATGTAGAGCGTGCAGCCTCACACTTTGGGGCCCGCAGAAGTTCCCTGGGCCTGTTTCGAAAACGAAGGTGCCAGGACCCCACTCCAGAGATTGGTTTCCGCATCTGGGCAGGGCCCAGGGACGTCATTTGAGGACACTCTCCAGGTGTTTCTGTGTAGGTGGTCTGCGATCGCACTTTGAGAGACATTGACACATAGACCCAGGTGGGCAAAAGGAGGTTGGTGATTCATTGCAACTGCATCCTCAGTTTTTGTTCTTGCTGTGAACTAACCTGAGTACAGGTGTGCCACTGTTGACTGTGGGCCCGGTGTGCACATGTATGCACACAAGCTGTGTAAGCTAATATGCACATGTGTGTTATATAAGCTGACTGTGCACACACACACACAGCGTGCACATACTATTCCTATGTACATATGCGCACGCACTATGTACGCTAAGTATGCACACACGTGTATTCTGAGCTATAGCTCATACAAGTACACACACACACACATTTCTGGGAAGTCCTCCTTGAGCCGTACCGAGCATGCACTGCCCTGTCCCCACTTTGCAGCGTGGATGGCGATGGTGATGGGCGTGGCGTCTCTCACTGCCCGAGTGGCCCCGTGACTGCCCTCAGTGCTCCTCTCACATCCCCACCCCTCGCTCCTCCAGGTCCCGGGCAGTTCGCTGTGCAGATGCCGGGCAAAGCGGTTTTCTCATCTGGAGGAAATAACCCCCACCTGGTGCCCCCACCCTGCTAAAACCACCTTGGGTGACATGTAGGTGGTAAAAATGCTCGTACGAGGTGGGCCCTGTGCCTACTGGGCTGTGCTCCGGTGTGAGACCTGGAAGACCTGCGGCCACCATGGGCGTGGCAGGCGGTGTGTGTTCTGCCATCGGGGTAGGACGTGGGCACCTCAGGATGACATGCGGCACACAGAGGTCAGAGAGGAAGGAAGACAGTGTGGCATTATTGATTGATCTGATCATCTTTTTTGGATTATACCATTCGAAATGGCAGAAAAAATGGGGTGAACTTATGCTCATGAACCTCGGTGAGCCTCATTGTGCCTGGAGGGCCTGTTGCCCCTCCTGACTGCTTTTCCTCTTGCTGTTGGTTTCAGGGAAGGTGGCCATCCAGAAGGAAGACCTGCAGAAGTACCACAACAGGGACACCTGGTTCCAGCTGCAGCACGTTGACGCTGACTCAGAAGTTCAGGTGAGACCCCAGCACAACCTGTGGGTCACAGGGGGTCTTTGGGGTGGAATACACTCAGATTGTGGTTAAAGAAATAGGTATAGAGTTTTGGTTTTAACAGAATAATGGTTAGCAAGTTGTGTCCTTTTATGTACAGTAAGGATAGGCTTGTTAATTTTGTTTGTTCAGTTGGTTATTGTCATACTTTGCCATGCATGATTGAAGCAGCTTTAAAAATACAAAATATGGAAGAACAATAACATAACTGAGGGTGAAGAGACAATCTGGATAAGAAAACATGAAGCTGCGGAGTGAGAACAGCGCATGGAACCTCACCAGTGTCTGCGGGAGGTCACCAAATGTGTTTTCAAGCTCCCCGCACTCAGCAAAGAAGTGTTTAGAGCTTGAAGAAGTGACCTCTCCGAAGAGGTTCCAATCGTCTGAAGGGTCCTGGGCTCACCCCGGCTTGCCTGGGCAGCATGTCAACTGGGACTGAGCCCCTGTCCAGTGGTGAGAGCTACCCCCCAGCACTGAGGGTTTCTCTCCCGAGCAGGGGAGACTGCAGGGACCCAGGACCCTAACCCTTCCCCATAAGGCTGCCCTAGAACCTTCCCATAGCTCAGGGTCGCTCCCCGTGCTGAGTGTCCAGGAGCACACCTGAACACCAGTCAGGACAGTGGCCACATCTCCTCTCTTGTGACCCTGGTTGGTGTGATTTCCAGTTAAATCTGCTCCAAGGCAGGGGCTAGAACTCTAAGCCTGGGAGCACGGCCGGACAGCACAGCAGCCGCAGTGCTGAGACACTCGAGTGCTCTCCTCAGTGGTTGCTGTGAGACGCCAAGGCCTGGCAGGGGTGTGCGATGGCGCAGGGCCTCCGGCACAGGCAGGCCCAGCTCAGAGCTCAGTGCCCCCACTCGCTGGTGAAATAGGCCAGGGTGGGGCCTCTCCACGCCTCTGTCTCCTCATCCACGAAGCAGGGTTTTGTGAACAGCTGGGTGGTGTCTGATGCGTTGCCCTGGCCCTGCCTGGCATGTACCACTCCTGGGCCCCTCGCCCAGCATTAGAGGCCTGGCTGGCCCTCAGTTCTCATGCTTCTTCCTGGAATCTTGGCTTTGGCTGAGCTTTGAGAGTGCAGGCAGGGGGTTCAGGGTTTCTGCCTGCTGAGGCTGCGGGATGCACAGGCCCTGGAGGCCGCTGGGTTGGATCCACAACTTGAACAAAGAGGCAGCCAGAGGGAGGGGTTGAGGAGCCGAGCCAAAGGGAGGCGTTGTGACGGTGTTGCACACTTAATTAGTTCTGACCCAGGGGCCCAAGTGTGCTGTAAATTAGAAGACACTGTAATTACTGCAGAACCAATGACTCTGCCATTGAAAAGCAGAGTTCTGACAGTGAGATGAACACTAACACCTGGAATACAATGGGCGACCTCACCTGCTCCGGTGACTTGGAAGGCTCATCTCTAGACAGAAGGTTCCCGAAGTGATGGGCTGTGAAATGGTGCTCTGTGGCTGGAGCCACTCCTGTTTTTTCTTCTGACTCTTTCCCCCGTCACTTTTTTTAAGTGACACATCCTGTGGCACCGTCAGCGGTGGCCCCTGCAAGCAGCCGCGGCAGTCTCTGGCTGTGTCTCCCCCAGAGTTAAACTGGATTTTATTATTGGCAAGTGTAACTTTTCTTTTTCTTTCTTGCCTTTTTTTTTAACTTTTAATTTTGAAAGGGTGACAGATTCACAGGAAGTCACAGAAGGTACACAGCGGAATAATGATTAGCAAATGGTGTGCTCTCCTATTTATACTCCAAGACTAACAATAGTGAAGAAGGGTCCATGCTCCTTCACCCTGGTGCCCCATGGTAGCATTCTCTGTGCCTGGTATGAGGTCACAACCAGGACGTTGACGGTCCTGCGATACACAGAGCCCATTAAGATCTCACCCATGTTACATGCATGCACGTGTACCAGTGCGCACACACATGTGTATGCACACAAATCCTGTGCAAATTATCATGTGTGCATATGTGCATCCTGTGCAGATCATCACGTGTATACATTTGTGTAACTACCACCACAATCAATATCCAAAACTGCTCCCTCAGCACAAATCTCAGAAACACGGATGCATGTGTTCACTGTAATGCCGTGTGGAGTGTTTGCACTGTTCCATAACTAATGCCTTTGCACGGCCATGGACAAGTCCCTGTCCTTCTGAGCCCAGTCCTTATCTGCGTGACACTATACTGACTTCGTGAATTATGGATGGAAACACATGATCATTATTACTATGAGGAGAAGAAGGAAGAATGGCGTGTGTCGGCTGCTCATGAAGTCCCGGGCGCTGAGCGGCGTGCTTTGCCTCATCAGTTCTCTGGGTGCCCACCCATGAAATGGCCCTGCCACCGAAGGAGCAGCGCTGCCCCGATTCCAGCTGGCCTTTAAAAGTCCAATGACAATCTTTTCCCTACAGCGAGTTTCATTTTAAAATGTCACATTTATGGTTTTTAGAAGGGTAGAGGATGCTATCTATTTTCTTGAATCCATCTTCTCTATAATTCATAGTAAAAGGCATGTGTCTGAAAGAGTCACAAAACTCGGGTCAGCAAGAGACCAGTGAGTCACAGAAGGAGGGGAGAGGACAATTTTAAAAAACGGCTTGCTTCCTCCTGGAACTGATGTTTTTAAAGGTCTCTGGTAAATCACTTTATTAAAAAGAAGTAGTCACTCCTGTTCCTTCCCTGACCCTATGCAAGGAACAGAACTAGGCGATTGGCAGGAACAGACCTGAGCTGTGGGCTGTCCGCACAGCCAGTCGCGGCTGCCAACATGTACACTGGAATCTGGGAGCATTCCCTCCCTCCCATGGCTTGTGTCCTCCTTGGTGTCGGGTGGGCAGGGAGGCAGTCTCTTACTCAGCCACCAGCGAGTCCTCCCTCGGCTCCTCCAAGGATGCCCAGCAGCCACTGAGCTCTGCTGAGTGCTCCCGTTTGTTTTAGTGACCTTGGTCTGAAAGTACATATTCAGAAAAGAGCACTGACGGGCCATCACGGCAGCCCCCAGCAGCGGCCTCCAGATCATGTCTGAGAACCTGACTCATGTGGCAGACCTTCCTATGGGAAGGGTTTTCCAGACAGTCGGTGTCAGCAGTTGTCCAGGTACCAGGACCCAGCTTGAATCTTTCTAAGGGCTTAAGGAATTCCAGGAAGGAAAGGGCAAGGTCAGGCCTCCTTCCTGACCCTGCACTTGGCCTTGACGTATGTGGCTGAGCAGGTTGATGCTCAGACCAGGACGTCTGTGTCCAGTGCTCTGTGAGCTCAGACGCCAGCTGTGCAGAGGCTGAGCCCAGAAAACCCAAACTTCCTGCCCGTGCTGAGGTGTGAGGCGTGGCCCCCAGTCCCTCTGGGCGTCGGCATTTGTGGGCTGGGTTGTTTGTGCTGGAGGTGCTGGGATGCCCAGACCACGTGGTGGCCCCAACCGTCAGCGATGCTGAGTGACAACAGATGTGAACTTCTGAACCGCAGGTCTGTGAGTTAGTCTCTGAGGGAAAGTCCTTGTAGTTATGTATAGCGTTTGTATTGTTTTGTTCTACCCGCACCCTCCTCTCCCAAATCCCCAGAAAATAATAACAAAACAACTTGGCCGACAGTATCTGCCACCTTGGTACGGAAGTGTCTGCCCTCAGAGAGGAAACGTGAGCAGTCACAGGGTCTGCTGGTGCGGACGCGTTGTCCTCCGCTGGGAAAAACAGGAAACAGGACGGCCAGCCTGGGCGTCGGCCGCGGGGGCGCCATCTCACTCCAGACACATTCGTTCACTTCTTAGAAGCCCATTTAGAATGAATCAGTGGAATATCAGTCTGAATGGTCGCGGCCAAATTAAACCAAGAAAGCGCCCAGTACCTTTGAGAAGGCAGATGAGGAACCAGACTTCACAGGAGACAGTTTTGTGAGGTGTTCTTACCCTGTTTTTTAATTTTTTAGAAAGATTTTATTTATTTATTTTTAGAGAAGTCAAGGGAGGGAGAAAGAGGAGAGAAACATCTATGTGTGGTTCCCTCTCATGCACCCCCTACGGGGGACCTGGCCTGCAACCCAGGCATGTGCCCTGACTGGGAATCGAACCGGCGACCCTTTGCTTCAAAGTCCTGTGCTCAGGCCATTGAGCCACACCAGCCAGGGCCTTACTCTGTTTTATCACGAGCAGTTGTCCTGGGTTTGGTTTTAGAAGGCAGGTTGCCGATTGCTGTCAGCCTCAGTGTTCTCCTCTTAGCAGAGGATGACTGTGCCCACTCCATGGGACGTGCTGAGAATTATGGGACAGTGCGGGAAGTTCTAAACCCTGGCCGGTGCTCAGTGAAAAAGCCACAGGAAATCAGCTTTGTCAGTGTCATTGCTGTCACTTGGGGCATTGGCCTGGCCCCTTCAGAGCTTGCATGGTACTGAGGCCCCTCCCTCAGTTATTAGCCCTGAGGGTTTGCTCATGTCAGGGTGAGGTCAGCCAGAAGCTGGGCCCAGACCCATGGTCACCAGGATGCAATGCTGGTAGTCTGGTCCTATGTCCAGGACTTATTGCTGGGCATCCTGCCTGACCATCGCTCTTGTCCTCCCTGAGGCCACTCTGTCGTACAGGTGAGAAAAAGGCCCGAAAGGATAGTGTCCAGCCCTTCCCACAGCTGGGCAGTGGTTGGGCGCATTTGCCGCCATGTGTGCCCAGGCCCAGGCCGAGGCTTCTCGGTGCCCATCTCCCTGCCACCAGTGGAGCTGGGAGCCCAGTGTGCCTGATGGATTGGAACCTTTAACCTCTGGAAGTCACGCCATCCTCGTCACTGGGATCTGGGTGGGGGCCGGAGGGAGTACAGTGGATGCCACGTGGGGGCAGAGGTAGCCACCATTTGTGAACATTTTGTGTGATTGTTCCCCTGTGACCCTCTATCCTTGTGCCTTTCAGGGCAAGGTCCACTTGGAACTGAGGCTGAGTGAAGTCATCACCGACACGGGTGTTGTCTGCCACAAGCTGGCCGCGCGGTAAGACACGAGTTTGCCCCAGAATAGTAACTCTGACCCCTGGGAGTGGGGCAGCTGGTTGTTTTTCACACAAATGAATCAGATTCACCGACTCAATGGTTCCCCCAGATGACATCATTTTTAGAGGTTCTGGCATGCTCTTGATGCACTCAGTAACGCAGTGACCAGCCAAAGTTATTGTTTAGGCAAAGAGGTTGGTGTTTCACGCTGTTACAAATGAGGAACCAGGATTCTACTCTCACTTGCCCACGAGCAGGGTCTGGACAAAGGCAGTGAGGAGAGTCCCCCATTGTTTACTCTCCAAGGGACCTGTCTTGGCTGTCCAGTGCACATTCATCATCTGACGGTCAGTGTGGGCTGCAGGGCCGTCACTGTAGACCACACAGGAGGACACGGTGCAGTGACACAGCGCAGCATGTGCTAAAGGACATGGTGTAGGGCTCGATAAAAGACGGGGTATAAAAGACTTGAACATAAGCAGTGACACCATTAAAGTCTTAGAGGAGAACATTGGCAGGAAAATCTCAGATATTTCACACAGCAACATTCTTATGGATATGTCCCCTAGGGCAAAGGACATAAAGCAAAGAATAAACAAATAGGATCTCGTCAAAATAAAAAGCTTCTGCATGGCTAAAGAAAACAGTATTAAAATAAAAAGAGAACCAACTGTATGGGAAAACATATTTGCCAATGATACCTCAGACAAGGGTTTAATCTCCAAAATATACAAAGAACTCACACCACTCCACTCTAAGAAGACAAGCAACCCAATTAAAAAGTGGGCAAAGGACTTGAACAGGTACTTTTCCAAGGAGGACATACAGAGGATCCAGAGACACATGAAAAGATGCTCAATATCGCTAGCTATCAGAGAGATGCAAATTAAACCCACAATGAGATACCACTTTGCACTGGTCAGAATGGCCATCATAAACAAAGCAACAAACAACAAATGTTGGAGAGGTTGTGGGGAGAAGGGGACCCTAGTTCACTGTTGATGGGATTGCAGACTGGTACAACCATTATGGAAAACAGTATGGAATTTTCTCAGAAAACTAAAAATGGATCTTCCTTTTGACCCAGCAATTCTACTGCTAGGATTATAACCTAAGAACCCTGAAACACCAATCCAAAAGAACCTATACACCCCAATGTTCACAGCAGCACAATTTACAATAGCCAAGTGGTGGAAGCAACCTAGGTGCCCATCAGGAAATGAATGGATCAAAAAACTATGGTACATATACACAATGGAATTCTATGCAGCAGAGAGAAAGAAGGAGCTCCTACCCTTTGTATCAACATGGATGGAACTGGAAAGCATCATGCTGAGTGAAATAAGCCAGGCGGTGAAAGCCAAATATCATATAATCTCACCTTTAACAGGAACCTAAACAACGAAACTAACAAGCAAGCAAAATATAACCAAAAACACTGAAATAGAGAACAGGCTGATAGGGACCAGAGGGGAGAAGGGAGGGAATTTCAGGGGAAAAGGGGAAGGGTTCACAGGAACTAGTATAAAGGACATGTGGACAACAACTAAGGGGGGTTGAAATGGGAGGGAGGTGGGGAACACTGGGGCGTTGGGCTGGGATGGGAGTAAAATACAGAAAACTGTACTTGAACAATAATTAATTAAATGGGGAAGAAAAAGATGGGGTATAGAACATGTGTAGCAGGTGCAGAAGGTGAGAATTCCAGGCTCCCCGGGGACTGGGGAGTATGTGGGAGATGAGTTCAGCGAGGTTCATCCTCACTCCTTCATGATTTCTATTCCTCTTAAAGTAGTTGCAGGGCTCTCAGATTTTGTAGCCCTGAGGAGAGAGTTGCCCATTTTCTTATTTGTTTACTGGTTTATTCCTTGCTCTAAAAGGACTTAAGGCTGCTTAACACAAGCCTCACATAGAACAAGAAATTGTGTTAGTGGCGGGGAGAGAGGAAGGCCCGGGCTGAGTGGGACCTGGAGGGCGAACAGAGGTGGGCTGGGAGCCCTGGCCCCAGAGTGGCCCCGTCTAGCCCCACGGTGCCAGGTGGAGGGTGGAAGGGTCTGCTCCGTGTGTGATGCACCAGAACGCTGCAGCCGTTGCAGCTCTGTGTCTTACTAGGCTGTACGTTGTTAGGCTGTGGTTTCCAGGAACACAATCGTCTGAAGTCAGGACTGACTGTCAGCAGCAGCCGCCTGAAATGTGGGCGTGCAGCTATTTCCACATCCACGCCCACTGCTGGCACAGAAAATCCCAGAGGCGGGTGACTTGGAACTCGGGCCATGGGCTTGGGGTTCTGTTATGAAACACAGGAGTGTGCTGTGCACGTGGCCTCTTTTTTTGTTTTTTTTTAAGGAGCTTTGGTTTAGAGAAGATGTAAGAGTGGGAATCAGGAAGAATCCATGCGTCCCAGTGTTTCCTGGGAGGCAGTGCCTCTGGCCGCTGGAACAGACTGGAACCATGACGGCCTCAGGCTGCCTGGTGTGTTTTGGATCCTTGCAGACAACTGCTGTGTGGAGCGCATCTTGTTAGGACTGGGCCCCAGCAACCCTGCTTTTCCAACTGGGTTCAAATTCATGCAAAGGGATGAACTGTGCCTGTTCCAAAGTGCTTTCTTGAAGCTGTGTGCCAATGTGACTCTGTCGACAGTTTTCCTGCTCAAATACCCGTTTGAATGTCAGGATGTTAACCACCTACCTCACCGAGTTCTAGGTTCTGTCCCCCAGCGGTCAGCTGCACAACTGTTTTCATCAGCACTGCAGGTCAGCTTTCAGTCCCTCCCCCACGTGCACAGGAGGCGCTGGTACTGACGTTGTCGGGCCAGGGCCTCTGTCCCCACGCCGCCCAGACATGGCTTCCCTGTAGATTCTCACTCAAGCCCACCCTGCTTCAGCCTTTGCCCCTATCACCCTCTGCCTGGAATGCCCTTTCTCCAGATGCCCCTTAATTCAGGTCTTGACTCAGCTGTCCCCAAGGAGTCATCCCCTTCTGGAGCAGGCGTAGCCAGCCCTCTGGGCCCCTGCCCCATGCCCCTCCACACTGCAGTGGTTGATGATTGCTCTGTTCCGTGCATTTCCCCTGCTGTCTTCTGGACACTTGGAGCAGGGCCTGACGCCCTGCAGGTGCTCAGCGACGCCTGTGTGCTGGGCATGTTCCAGCGCATGTTCCAGGGCCCGTTCTGTCCAGCACAGCAGGAAGGGATCTCTGGAGAGGGGACAGGATGAGGCTCCCTTTCCCTGCAACCATTCTGTGACTGCCAAGCAGGGTTTGGGCCTGTCACACCCTTTAGTATGTGCACTGAAGCATACCCACTAGTATACACTAATACATACACTAACACACACACTAATACACCTAGTACACAAGAACTCACATGCTAATACACACACTAGTATGCACTATTATACACACGAGCACAGCAGTCCCCAACCTTTTTTGGTACCAGGGACCGATTTCATGGAAGACAGTTTTTCCAGGGACTGGGGTAGGTTGGGGATGGTTTCGGGGTGATTCACGTGTATTGCATTCCAGCTCCCCTCCTGCTGTGCGGCCCGGTTCCCAACAGGCCACAGATCCATACCCGTCCACGGCCCGGAGGTTGGGGGCCCGACACTCTCACATAGTAATACACATGCTGATACACAACTCTAGTACACACTAGCACATATGCTAGTGCACATGCCATTACACCGGTGTGCACACGTACACATGTTTATACACACTACATGTGTACATGTGTACTCACACCAGCACATTTTGCTCAGAGTCCTGGGGCACAGGGTCCACCCCAGGGGTGTACTGAGGGGGGAGGAGTGGGATTCCCACAGGGGCCTGTATTTTCTGGTGGAGGAACTCAGAAGTTTCTGAGGGGCCAGTGACTTTCCTTTCCTCACCTCACCTCCTCCTGTAGGTTGTTTTCCCTAAAGAACATTCTTTGCATACATAAAACTCAACCTTTTAAAGTGCATAATCGCAGTGTATTCACCAGGTGACATAGCTATCGCCACTGGCTGTGGTCTCATCCCGATGAGCAGGCACACCCGGCCCTCCCTGGGCCCCACTGATGTGCTCTCTGTCTGTGGATTTGCCTGGTCTGCACATTTTGCAGAAATGGAGCCCCACAGCACGTGGTACTTTGTGCCCAGCAGCCTTCACCCAGCGTGATGTCCTCCAGGGTTTCCGAGTTGAAGCGTGTGTCAGCACTTGGTTCCTTCCAAGGATGGATGCTGTCCCGTTCTATGGGGCACCACACTTTGTTAATCTGGCATCCATGGGTGCACGTTTGGTTTGTCGACACTTTGTGGTTATTGTGAATAATGCTGCTAAGGACATTCTTGTGCAAGATTTTTGTACAAACATATCGTTTTCACTTCTTTTGGGTATATACCTAGGGATAGAATGCCAGATCATATGGTACCTCTGTGTTTCACTTTTTGAGAAACTGCCAGCCTCTCCGCCGTGGTGGCTGCCCCACGTTACACCCACCCGCTGCATGGAGGCCTCTTGTTTCCCCACATCCTGCTAACACTTGTTGTTGGCCGCTGACTTTTTTATTGTAGCTGGGCTCGTGGGGGTGAAGTGGTTTTGATTTACATTTTCTTACTCATAATGACTGAAGATGTTGACCGTCCTCCCTTGTCTTTGTTGACCATTTCTCTATTTCCTCTGAAGAAATGTCTATTTAAGTCTTTTACTAATTTTAAAAAGATCTTATTTACTTATTTTTAGAGAGAGGAAGGGAGGGAGAAAGAGAGGGAGAAAAACATTGATGTTTGCAAGAGATACATCCATCAGTTGTCTCTTGCACACCGCCTACTGGGGACCTGGCGCGCAACCCAGGCATGTGCCCTCACTGGGAATTGAACTGGCGATCTTTTGGTTCATAGGCCAGCACTCAATCCACTGAGCCACACCAGCCAGGGCTAAGCCCTTTACTGATTTTTAATTGGGTTATTAGTATTTTTATTATTAAGTTGTAACAGTTTTTCATATATTCTAGATACTAGACTT